AAAGTATGTGTGCACCACGATGCACACTTGCTCAGATCCATAAAGCGGCCGCAGGAAAGCTGAGCTACAGGAGCACTTACTGTTTTGATGGCCGCAATGAAGTTGAGTGCTTCCTCTCTTGCATTCTTCTGAAGGAGCCCGAATCTCTTCTCGTACAGTATGAGGCAGATACCTGTTATTTAAGAGAATTGTCTCTGTTACACAATCACAACAATGCTGGCCACTATGATTACCTGGCGTTAAAGACTTGCTTCTGCATCTCATGAAAGAGTGGTCTTTCCTAAGAAAGCAAAGCAAAGATGTTCAGGATGTCAAGGAAAGGCAAGAAAGAAAGAGGCATGCGCACTCCCTCTCCTTTCCAGAAATTCTTTTCAGAAGCAGTGACCCATCCTCTCAGAAGCTTATCACAGGCACACTGTCCTCGGTTGTTTCCACCATGCAAAAATCTCGGTCAAGGGTGCAGCTGGGTCAAAGCTGTGCCTGCCCTTAGCTCAGCTGTGCTGCAGGAGGTGAGCGTTGGGCTCTGCCACCTCTCATGGCCAAGGGGACGCCAACTTGAGAGGAAGAGACAGGCCGACTGCGCACGGGCCGCACAGGATTTGCTGGGCCCCTTTATAGATGTTCCTTCCTATGCCCTGACTTTCCACAGTCTGCTCTTATAGGACCTGGTCCTCCAATCCAGGGCTTCTCACTGTCCTTTCTTCTTTTTTAAATTTATTTTTTAGTTACAGGGTCACTGCGCTTATACTGTTCATCCTGTCCCAGCCTCCTTGGCATTGGGATTACAGGTGTGTGCCACCACACCTGGTTTCAGGGCTGGCATGGCATGCGGTACTGGTTCTTGCCCTTATCAGCAGGCACTTAGACCACTGAGCTATCTCCCAAGCCCCTCACTGTCTTTTTAACATCATACTATCCACACTGGGAAGTTTCCTGCCCTCGCTTCACTTGTCCTTGTCCACTCACTGCTGTTCTGTAGCACGTAGCGCTGCGCCTGGCATATTACAGGCCTCCATTAGGCATTTCTGGAGCGAATTCACAGACAACCCTAGCACAAGGCACTACCTAAGCAGGGGAAGCACTAAAAGAACCAAGGTGGCCCTGATCTTAGTTGGTGATACAACACATCCTTCTGGACAGTGTCCAGAGAGTGGCATTTTGTCCCCAGAGCCACTCGCAAAATTAAGTGCCTGAGCCCGCGGAGACAACTTACTTTCAAATGACCATTTGTTCAGTTCGCTGTACAAGTCTCCAATGTGGCCTCTTTCATCGCAGAGCTCATCTATTCTACCCATGAAGTCAGCCAAGACCTTAAGAGAAAACCACAGAGGCACATTTTAACATCAGGAAAAGTTTTAAGCAGACAACTAATTGAAGGGTTTACTACATTGTCTAGTCATTGCCCTGAGTGTTACTCATTGAGAATTAGAACTAATTATCTGTCCCCCTAGAAGCTACGCTGTCCCCTCACGACCTTGTCTTGGGTGGTTTCTGAAGCTCTTCCTGCAGACGCTGAGAGGCTTACATTTCAGTTTTTGATCTAAAACTGATTCTGGCAATTTAAGAGAAGAGAAACCTTTCTCTTAATGAGAATGGGGGTGGTCACACCATGGAAAGACTCAACCACATTGAGACAGCAGGTGGAGGACGAGACGGTGACACCATCACTACCCTCACGTTGGCACTTTCCTCTATATAGGGGTAAAAACACAGCATTTCCATGGTTACGGGTTCTTATTATGTATATTGAACTTGGAGTCAGATCTACACTTTTTTTTTTTCCTTCTGGTTCTGGTGATAGGAACTCGAGTCCTTGTGCCGCGCTCTCTCCCCGGCTCCAGTTCTGCAAATTCTGTGTGCAACTCGATCACGGAACAGCTCTGTGGTGCTGGGTGGTGCCCTTCGTCCTTAGTTGCCAGTTTCAACAACCGAAGTTCTAGGTGGCTAAAGCCCCACACTGAGGTCACAGGGGGACTGTGCACCATGTGGGACAGCCCAGCTGGCCCACCCAGCAACCCCACGAGGCAGGAGACACTGCTCCATCTCCCTACTTAGGAATGGAGACAATGAGGCTCTGAGAGGTCTAGTCACTCACCCCTGGAAACACAATTGATCAGTTGCTATGTTGGACCCCAACACAAGGAGTGGTGTCCATGAAGCCTGTGTAGTTAAGCAGTGTCTGGCTTAATTTGCTCACATAGTACATCAAGCACTTTGAAATTGTTACTGTTAAAAAAATCAGGAGCTTTCATGTGAAGGGTGGATGCACCACTGCCTATTAGAGTAATCGTTAGGGGCCGGGGAGATGGTTCAGTAGAATAAGTGCTTCCCTGGCAAGTGCAAGGGCCTGAGTTCAATTCCTAGTTCCGCCAAAAAATAACTAACTAACTAAATAAATAAGTAAAGTAATGGTAACTACAACGTAAGAGTGACTGTGCATTCCCACACCGAGTATTAGTTTTCTGGGTCTGGGACAGGTATCCCCTCCAGGAAGGGCACACACAATTGTGTTTTCTAAAGTCCTTACTGTGCTTGCTTCGCTAGTTTATATTAATCATTCTGCCCTTAGAAACCTCTAAGTTCATAATTCCCCATCTATATGAACAGATCTGGGTATGAGACGAGTTCACAATAAAGACCCTAGGTGGAAGGATGCAGTGGGATGGTTACTTGCTTCCAACCGTCCTGGGCTAAGGAGTAGTGTCCCAGAGCTTCGGCATGGCCCTGAACTTGCGAAGGTCTTCTCTCCCTCCACACACCTCGCCTCACCTCGGCTGCATTGAACTCCAGCTCTCGACCACGCCATCCCCTGCCTCAGTTTATGCAGCCTGAATTGTTCTCTCTGCCTGAATGCTTTCCTCCACCTTGTCCTGTAGGCTCCAGCTCATCCTGCCATACTCAGCCCGGATGTCACCACCCAAGAACTTCGTGGGCATTTCTTATCTGAGCTTTACAGCCCATTGGTGGGATAAGAACTGTTCCCGCTTTAAGGTGGGAAAACTCAGGCTTAGGGAAGTCTGGCAGGAACATCAGGCTCTTAGGCAGTGGGTGGAAGGCTGAGTCTTAAAGCCAAGACTGAAATAATAAAATCTGTGCTTATCACTCTTCCTTCGTTACAATATTACATTAAAAGGAATTAAAGGAGACAGAAGCAAGGGTTTTGACGAGAAGGATTTAGATTGAAATGGAGGCAAAGAGAAGAGCCACGAATCATCCCATTAGATGGTTTTTCCTTCTGTAGTTTCAAGGTATAACTTGAAGGCTCACTGACGTCCTGCGGCTTAGGGAGACCCAGGAAAGCTGGCCCCAGCTGCAAACCTCGTTGATTTTGCTGTCCAGCTTCATGATTTCTACTGGCTTCATTAATTTCTTTTGAAAAACACTCCGGACCCTTTGCCAGTCTTCTCCTTCCCTGTGGAGAAGGATTATATTAAGAACATAGGAAAAAAGCAGGGCATGGTGGCACACGCCTCTAATCCCAGCATTCAGGAGGCTGAGACAGGAGGATTGCTGTCAGTTCAGGGTTAGCCTGGGCTG